GCCTGTGGCCCGGTCAGGTATCTGCAATGTTCTTGTCCTTGGGTTGAGCACGCTGCTGCTGTTGGGTGTTCACATTATGGCAGGGCTGGTGGTCACGGGAGTCGACTGGTCGATGCTGTATGACTTTGGTCTGTGGACAATGTGTGCACAGTGGAGTCCGCTGGGCCGGTGGCTCTGCTCATCTTTTATCTTGTTGGAGGTCGTTAGGAGCACATGGGGTCGGAGTGGTTGACTGCTGGGCACCTGGGCTTCGCGTCCCAGTGCTGGGGACGCGGCCCCTGGGAGTGACCCGTTGCCGTGTCTGTTCCGCCCGATGGCCGTGGAGCACCCCTTTCTGTCCCTATGCCCTCAGGGAACGGAATGAGGCACCTCTATCCGCACTTGAGCCGCACACGCTCGGTGGTCAGCATGTGGTCCTCCAGGCTTTGTCGATTTGCTCCCTCACTCGTTAATTCACTACATTCTAGACTTTAAAAAAATAGCAAATACCTCTGAAGAGAACACTGGGCCCAACACAAAACCATCAACAACTCCCTCTCCCTCTGGCCCCAGCGCCCCCGCCAGAAGCAAACCCCTCCCAATCCGTCAGGGTGTGGCTTCCGCCCGAGGCCTGCAGGGGTGACAGGGCCTGCCGCTCCCGGAACCCTCCTGGCAGCGCTGTCTCAATAACGGCTTAAATGCACGAACTCAAACCTGCACGAGCGCCAAGGAACCAGACATGTGGGAGTGTGGTTACCGCACACCGGAAGCACAGTGCCATGGCTGTGCGCGCGCTTCCATGGCACCTTCCTGACGTGTGGGTGGCACACACGCACAGGGGCAGTCCCTACAGGCAGAAAACAGGCTGCCCTGGGCACCAGCACCGCTGCGCATGGACATAGGTGGCACCAGGCCAGACAGCACCCGCGGCACTGCTGAGTGTGGACACGGGCTGCCCAGACCCACCTGGCGATCACCGCCTCTTCCATCGTGGCTTTGTGCGAATGGCACCTCCTCCACGGGGCCTGCACTGCCTGGGCCTGGCGATCCCCACTCTATCTCAGTTTCCCTTCCAGTGTGAGGTGTTCTAGAGAAGGTAGGTGGGACAGGGTGGTGTGTATCCATGTGGCTACAAGGCCAGGCAGACGGGACTGGCTGTCAGCATTGGCTCCAAGGGGACTGTAGCAGTGGGAGGGGCTCTCGGGAGCAAAACCTGACATGGAGGGTGGACAGACCACGGGCCGTGCCCCAAAGAGGAGGATAGGGTGGTAGCGGCCAGGGAGGTGGGGTGCTGAGATACTCATTTAGTTCTGAAACAAGAGAACTGCAGTGTGTTTGTATTGTTGAGTGGCACAGTGCCTGAAGCATATGACTGCTAACCAGAGGGTTGGCAGTTCAAACCCACCAGGCACTTTGCAGAAGGAACATGAGGCAATCTACTTCCATAAAGATTTACCACCTCAGAGACCCATGGAGGTCGCCATGAGTTGGCATCAACTTAATGGCAGGAAGTTTTCTGTATTGTTGAGAGGCTCACCCAGCACAGGGGAGGGGGCATGTTCTTGAGGATCATGGTGCTGTCCGCATCCCAGGGGTCGTGACGTCTTCACTGTACCCCAGCACCTGGTACAGGGCCCGGCGCCTGGTGAGGCCAGTGCGCTGTGGGGGATGGTGGACGGAAGTCGGGAGGAAGGGAGATAAGTGGACAGACGGGCGGGGGATGGATGGAGACATGGACGGACAGGCGGGTACGGACAGACGGGCAGGGGATGGATGGAGACATGGACGGACGGGCAGGGGTACGGACGGATGGGTGGGGGTACGGACGGACAGGTGGGGGATGGATGGAGACATGGACGGACAGGCGGGTACGGACAGACGGGCAGGGGATGGATGGAGACATGGACGGACGGGTGGGGGATGGATGGAGACATGGACAGACGGGCGGGGGTTCAGACAGACGGGCGGGGGATTCGGACTGACGGGCGGGGGTACGGACGGACGGGCGGGGGTACGGACGGACAGGCGGGGGGTCGGACAGACGGATGGGGGTTCAAACGGACAGGTGGGGGTACGGATGGAGGGAGTATGGAGATGGATGGTTAGAGGACTGATGTAAGTGGCTGGGCGTAGGTGGACAGATGGAGCTATGGATGGATGGGTGGGTGGATGGAGCTATGCAAGGATGAACGTGAATGCATGGGTGGAGGATGGATGAATGGATGGATGTGGACAGAGGAAGGGGTCGATGGATGGGTGGGGAAGCAGGTGGACAGAGTATGCTAACAGCCAGCTTCATGAGGCCAGCCTTGTGAAAGTGGAGCTCACCCACAAGACCTGGACCCCATCCCACCTACACCATGCTCCAAGGACCCTGGGCTGGGAGCAGTGGCTAGCTGGTGGCCCTGTAGCTCTGGCCCTCATGGGTGGGTTCCTGGGACAATTTCAGAGCTGGGCAGGTGCCTGCACCCTTCCGTGCCCAGGACCAGTGTCTGGAGTGACCAAGCCACAGGGCCACCAGGGGTGCCAGTGCCCATGTCCCTGAAGCCTCTCAGACCCTGAGGGGAAGGGCGGCTGGTGCCCTCAGGGTCACAGCTGTGGATATCCTCTGCCGGGAGACAGGATGACAGAGGGTCAGCTGGTCAGGCCTGGTCCTCTAGAGGCTCATGGCCTCCAGGAAGGCACAACGCCACCCGCAGGCAGGGCTGGGACCTGCACCCCAACTCCGGTTGCTGCTTCTACCCATCTCTGGCCACCACGAGGTGACAGCCCCACCCTTACCCCCCAATGCAGACCCTGGACCCTGCCATGGGCCGCACCCTCACCATAGGGCTCCCCCATGAGCAGTCTTCTGGAACCCTGGGCCCCTGCTCTCCGCCACCCAACACCTTCGCCCGGCCACCTGTGTCCCCACCCCCATGACACATCTAAGCCATGGGGCCTTAGCACAAAGCATCTCGGGTTTATTTAAATAAAAATTATAATTTATACAAGACTTTTTCTTTAAACAAGATTTTCTTAAAAAAATGTTACAGGGGAATTGTGTCCCTCAATCTTCAGACAGTACAATCCTTTTGTTGAACAAAAGTCACACCAGTAACAATTATTTACAAACCCAAAATCGACTAGCATTTCAGACATAAAAAAGTCAACATTCATTCTAGGTCAGTGATTAGTTGTAAAAATTAAACGCCTGCCCAGATCTGCACAGTTCTGTGAGGACGCTGGGCCCGTTCCCCCGCAGGCGACGGGGGGCTACACGGCGCTCATCTGTCCTCACAGGGCCGCCTGCCCTCACCGGCTTCCAGAGGAGGACCTGCCACACCGGCAAGTGTGTGACACTGGGCCCCACCCCCACCCCAGCTAAAGCCACGTGCTGGCCGTGGCCCCAGGCAGTGGTCAGTTGTCATTGCCCTTTGTCCATTGAAGGGACTCCGACTGAACCACCCACTTCAGGGCAAGGTCAAGGCCTTCTGCAGTGGAGGCCTCCCTCTCCCCTCCATGCTTGGGGACAGCCCTCGGCCCCACACCCACGCCGCCAGGCCTGGGAAAGAGATGTGAGTGGCATGGGGGCTCCCTGCCCAGCTGTTTCTGGGCCAGTTCAGAGCCACCCTGCTATGGGAGTCTCCCTGGGTGGGTCCCCTGGGGCGTGACCCCAGGGTGTCCCCAAGGCTTCCATGGGAGCCAACCATTCCCATCAAGGCCAGTACATCCCACCCACCTTCCTTCACTAGCAGTGACAGTGTGGCCTCAGGGAATGCATGGGGGGGGGGTCTATGCTTCACTGGCTGGCTGGCCTCACCCCCCAAAGCACCCCCAGATCCAGCTCTGAGAGCAAGCCTTGGTGCCTGAGTCGGGACTAACAGGCCACCACCAACAGCTTCCCCCCGAAGCCAGCAAGTAAGGGTCGGAGCAAAGGTAAAAATTACATCTGAAAAATGATACAAAAATAAGAAAAACAGCTTTGCTCTCTGTAAAAATAGAATCTGTGTCTTCCAAAAACAAGCCGTCAGGGCAGGGGCTGGGGACAGGGCGCCCTGTGGGCCTGAGGGGTCAGTGCCCTGCTGGCCAGGCCTGCAGCCTGCCCACCACCTTCTCCAGAGAGGCCGCCAGCCTGGCCTGAGGCCTCCAGCCCGCCCTCCCCTCGCTTCCCAGCCGAAAGGTGGGGTCTCAGAACATACCTGGCCTGGAAGCCACCCCTCGGCCCCCTTTTCCAGGAAAAGGGAGTTGTGGCACCTGGGAAGGGTGGGGGCTGGGCACAGGCTCACACTAGATGAGAACACTGATGGGCATCAGGGGTAAACAGCCCTGGTCCCCACCCTCTGGGCCCCAAGCAGTGCCTCCCAAGATGCCAGCATCCTGTCTGCCTTCACCCCACCGCCTAGCTTAGTGCTCCCGACTCTTAATTGGAGCATACCCTGGATCCATGGCCAGCTGGGGTCACTCTGCCACCAGAGCTCAGTGCACCCCAGAGATCGGGTGGCTCCCCCCACTGCCAGCCTCTCCAGAGAACTGTGTCACAGAATGCACGTCAGTCCACGGGCCCTTCTGCAGTGTGTCCCAGAGCCGCGTGGGGACCTGGGTCAGCGGCTGGAGCTGCACCCCAGCCCCACCCGCTCCAAGGACAAACAGCAGGGTCTTGCTGAGGGAGGTGTGAGACTGGCCGGCCCCGCCTCCTTGGTGGGCCCCAATGTCTCACTCACCTTCCCCCTCGGTGTGGGAACCACACTGCACCTCTGCTATGGGTTTGGGGCCAAGCTGCAGCCCAGCAGACCTGGTGGACAGGTCACGGTGGCAAGAATGGTGTCCTGCTGTCCTTCACACACCTCCGAGGGACCCTCCGCCTCCACGTCCCAGATGTGCATAAAAAGTGCTCTGATGCCAGGTGGCGGCAGCCCCAGCCCCGCAGGGCGCCGTCTGAGACGCGGGCAGGGGTTATTGCAGGTCGCAAGGGTGTCCGAGTTGTTCCCACTACCAATGAGCTCAGCACAAGGAAAGGCCGGCTGTGCCCGGCGCTGGCGCTAGCTGTCCCCGGCCACGGCCGCCGCCGATGTGATTTTCACGTACTGGCTGAAGATGGCCTCGAACGCTTCGTCCCGGTGCACCATGGCCCCGAACACCAGCGGCTGGTGGGAGGGCGCAGTGAGCCGCGTGGCCCACACCAGGTCCAGCACCCCTTCAGCGCGGCACCAGAACCGAAGGACAGACGCACCCTCCCTCCCGGAGGTGGCCCGCCTGCCCCCCAGTCGCCGGGAGCTGACTCCACGGCCCCCCGACAGGAAATGTCTCCCAGACCCCAGCTCCTGAGGAAGCCCCTGCCCAAGCCCCGCCCCCCCAGGCCTAGGCACTTACCTTCTGGGTGGAGGGTGTGGACACTGCGATCCCCATGCCCGACCCCGGGAGGACAGAGAGGACCTTGTACTGAAAGGTAAGGGCGTGAGTCACCATGGGCCCCTTGCGGGACAGGCTGCAGCTCCCCCTCCACCACGTGCTGCACTGGGTGAAGAGAGACCCTCCGAGCTGACTGGGACCTGCCCCCCCCACCCCTGCCGCCGGCTGAGACAGCTGCAGGGAAGGGAGGAGAGGGAGAAGGGGGCAGGGGATGGGGGCACTGTAAGAGGTGGGGGGCAGGTTCAGAACCCACTCCCCAGAACTGTCACCGCGGGGCATCTGGCGCCCTAAGGCTGGCCCCGGGGCCACTGATCACACGGGCCCCACTCCCAGCACTTCTCTGGAGGGAGACCTCCCAAGCTGCCCTTAGTGCCCATCGCTCTGGGACCTGCACCCTCACCCAGGATGCCCACACTCAGCTTGTGGGGTCAAGCGTGTGTGTCAAAGAGCAGAGGGCACACGGTTGGTGGGAGGCTGTGCTGTAGCTTCAACCCCCACCTCCATTTGCAGGTGTGTGATGGGGGCAGTGACGTCCCCGATGGACCGCACCCCTCCTCTGTCTAGGAAACAGGGCCAGCTGGGAGCCAGAAAACACCTGTGCTCAACCCCAACCCCAAGCCAGGCTGCCCATGGGCCAAGACGTGCCTGGGGTGGACACACTGCACTTTGGAGCTTGTCTGGTGTGGGGGCGATAGTGTGGTGACAAGCATGGCCCAGGAGCCTGACTGGGCACGAACCCACCTCCACTCCACATGCACAGCCAGGTCACACCTCCCCGATGTGCTCCCAGGGAGTGGGGTCGGAGGAGAGAGGGGACGAGCCCGGCCCCCGCCTCGGCCGTCGGCACCAGCGTCCCCGCGCCCTGGGTCCTGCGTGGCCCACACCGTGCAGCACAGCCAGCAGGCTCTGTGTTGAGCCCTGGAGGAGGCGCCCTGGTGCCTGGATGCTAAGCTCATCCAGGTTCCAGCCAAAGCCCGGGCCGCAGGCCCTGCAGCTGCTTCTTCCCGATCCAACAGGAAACAGGAAGTGGGCCCAGCCGCGGGGGGAGGGACTGCCACACTCACCTTCTGGATGTCTGTGATGTCCACCAACCTGATGACCTTATTTCGTTTCGAAGACCCAGATTTGGAGCTTTCGAAGCACAAGTAACTGAGCAGGAAGAGACAGCCGAGATGGGGTTCACCCAGAGCCCCTGCCAAGCAACCCCCAGGCCCACCCTGTGGTCCCTCTCCTCTGGCTCCATGGATGGACTTTCACACAAGGTTTCACTCTTAGGTAGTTTCATAGCTTTAAAAAATAAAGCCACTGCCTTATGTACAACCTAAGACACTGCATCCCTGAGGCTGGGCCAGCCCCTTCAATAGGGGTGACAGAGAGGGCAGTGAGGCCTGGGGCGGCTGCTGAGAGAGGCGGGGAGAAGGCAGCACGGGCCCAGAAGACTGCGAGCACCCCCATCCCAGGCTCTGCCACCCCCCACACCGGCTGTGGCCTCACGGCAAGCCTCCCACACAGTCCCGTGGAGACAGGGAGCGCCCCCTGGTTGCTGCACCCCATCAGCAGCTCAAGGACCGCCCTGTCCTGCGGCAGGGACCTCAGCCTCACAAGCCCCGACCAGCCGCCTGCAGGTTTGAGGAAATGACAGAAGGACAGGGACCGCCCTGTCCTGTGGCAGGCAGGGACCTCAGCCTCACAAGCCCCAGACCAGCCGCCTGCAGGTTTGAGGAAATGACAGAAGGACAGGGACCGCCCTGTCCTGTGGCAGGGACCTCATGCCTCACAGGCGGCAGGCTCCACGGGGCCAAGTGCATTTGGCTTCAAGGAGGGACCCTCCCCACATCTTCTGCAGGCGCTCCCTGGCCGGATCCTGGCCCAGGAGCCCTGCAGAACCCCCTCGTCCCTCCACCTGCCCCCCACCATGGCCCCCCACTCACTTTTCCGTGACGTACAGAACACCGTTCCTGATGTAGTCTGTGGGCATCTTCCGGTCCCTGTTGATGAGGCAGCAGCGCCAGCCGTTCTCACACACTGGGGGGAGGGGGACAGCCATCAGGATGTGTGCAAGCAAGGTCCAGGCCAGGGGCCAGAAGCACACCCCTCCCCACCGTTTGCTGGAAAAGGCCCTGGGAGGCCTCAGTGCCCGACCGAGGACGTGGCTGTCCCCTTAGCTGGCCGGCTGGCTTTCCCCGTGACCGGAGCCCTGGAACGTGGCTCCCTGCGTGTTCGCCCCCTGGGCTGTGGTCGATGTCTGGCAGTGGGGTCCCCAGGCCGCCACACACACCTGCCAGTGGCCGCTCGTTCTCTGTCAGGTTGAAGATTTCGTGGAAGTTGCCCTTCTTGGTGCCGTGGAAGCGGCTGGAATCGTCGTCTCTGCCCAGGCTGGCGGGGGCGCTGGAGACGCAGCTCCGCGAAGACGTGGCCTGCAGCTGGACAGGAGAGGCCCTGGTCAGGCGCCGGGGGGCAGCTGGCCACGTGCACCCACACGGGCTGCAAGCCGTGCCCGCAAATGACGACCAGGCCAGGGTGAGGACCCATCTTCTGGGCAGAGAAGCCCCGCTGCGGGGGGGGCACTGCCAGCCCACAATTTTCCCACGGCTGTCCCTGCCGCACAGGCTGCGTTCAGCCTGCCTCCTGGCACACGCCACCAAGGCCAACTGCTGCCCAGTGTGCACCCACAGGGAGGCATTTAAAACGGACAGGTCAGAGATCCAAACAGATATGGGGCAGGCCACCCAGAGCAGCATAAAGACACCCAGCAAACTCCCAGCACGGCAGCCGGCCGTAGGGGAGGGCTGGCACACGGGGATGGCACCCTGTCGTGGCCCGCGAGCTGGCTGGAGAGAGGCACACACCCTCGTACCCCTTCACTCTTCCAGACACTGGCTGGGACTCCTAGTCTTAACCTCCTGGAAGCCATCACCAGCCACCCCAAGGACAGGATGGGCCTTGATCCCTCCACACTGTGAGGGGAGCCTCCTGCCTCCAGTGGACCAGGGCATGGAGGTACCTGGGGACCAGAGCTCCACGCCCAGCCAAGCCACCCCGTGGCCGAGCCACGCTGGGGGAAGACTGGTTCTGAACAGCTCTGCTCTCCTCGTACCTGGGCCGCCGGCCCCATAGCTTCACTCCCACCCAAACGCTCTCCTTTTAGGCCCCTCCTCTAGATGCCCTCCCGACCACCCTGGAGTCCTGCTGGGCCCCAGTCGTCTGGGGGGCTCTGAGGAGAGCTCAGGCATGGTGGCCAGCCTCCTTGATCATGCGTATCCCCTGCTTCCCAGAGCCCACCGAGGGGGAGGCTGCAGGGCCCTGGAGTCACTGCAGGTCTTGGGGAGTCACAGTGGTGTGTGTGATGGTGTCCGTGAGCACGCGTGGTCTTGAGGGTACCTCCTTGGTTTGGGGTACAGTGCACGTGAGCTGGGGGAGTAGCAGGGGTGCCAGGGGGTCCTTCTTAGATTCTGCTTAGCCCAGCCGCCCAGGCCTCAGAACAGGATGGGGTGGGGGCCCACAGCAGTCATTCCTAGCCAGCACCCCACCCTGCCTCCCTGGGGCCTGGGGGCCAGCCTGGCTCAGGTGGGGTCCTGTTCCCCATGGAGCCTCCGGGCAGCCACACCCGCCTCCCAGCCAGGGCAGAACCAGGGGCAGGGCAAGCCTCAGAAGCAGGAAAGAGGGCAGATCTCAACAGGCCCTGTGCTTCGGTGCCTGTTCGGGGACCCGCAGAACCTGCACGTCAGCTCCCAGGCGAGCCGCACCACAGCCCCGAGCCCGCAGCAGCCGGCTCTCAGGCACCCACCCGGCGCGACACGGCGGCACTGGTACGCTCCTTGAGCTGGGGGTCCGTGGGGAGGCTCTTCCAGATGATGTAGGGCGTGTCATACTTGGCTCGCAGCCTCGGGCAGCGTTTAAAGATGAAATCGATGAGGAAGAACTTAATTCCAGCATAGAGGCCTGAGAGGGAGGAGATGAGCGTCTGTCCCCAGACCTCCGCGTCTGCTCAGGGCGGCAGCTCCGCCCCCGACCATGGCAGGGCCCCTCCGTGTCCCACGGAGGGAGGAGGGAGGCCACAGAGCAGAGGGCCAGGGCCGGAAGCTGCAGACTGTCCCCCAGCCCTTCTGTACACCGCCATGTGCCCACACACTGCGGCTCAAGAACACGGTCCAGCTCCCTGAAGTAGCCTCTGCTGCTGACCCAAGCCGGTCTGCACGCTGGCAGAACTGTTCCACATCACACCACCGTGCGCCCGCCCTTCTGAGTGACCCTCCCTGCAGCCTGCCGAGTGTGGAGGCCCCAGCCCACGCACCCCACTCCTCACTGCTGTACAGCTCAGGGCGCCATCCTGTGTGTACGGACCCGGCTCCCAGCTGCCACGAGGCCAAGGAGGGAGGGCAGTGCCACCCGTGTGTCTCGTCCCAGCAGAGAACAAGGAGGGCAGAGCAGGAGGTGAGGGGGGCAGTAGGAAGGAGGGAGGTGGTAGGGGGGAGGGAGGGGGGAGGAATTAGGGAGGGTGGTGGGGGGGGGGGGCAGCAGGAAGGAGGGAGGTGGGAGGAATTAGGGAGGGTGGTAGGGGTGAGGGGGGGCAGCAGGAGTAAGGAGGAAAGGCGGTGTCGCCCATGTCCCCAGCGCCCAGCAGAGAACAAGACAGAGCAGGAGGGGTGAGAAGGGAGCGAGGGACGCCTAGGGGCTCAGCTGCCACTCGTGAGGTCCACACACACCTCCGTGGGCAGCTGGCTCCCCACTGCCCACACGCCCGCTCCCCCTTCCTGGTAATCTACCCAAGAAGTGACTGTTTTGGGTCAATGTGAACCTCAGCCTGGTGCCACGTCACTAAATGCTGGCTGCTACTCCCCTAGCTCACGTGCACTGTACCCCAAAGCAAGGAGGTACCCTCAAGATCACGCGTGCTCACGGACACCGTCATGCACACCACTGTGACTCCCCAAGAGCTGCAGTGACCCCAGGGCCCTGCAGCCCTCCCCCTCGGTGGGCTCTGGGAAGAGGGGGCATGCATGATGCAAGGAGGCAGCCCGGGGAGCGTCAGTGACTGACGGGCTCGGCTGTTGACAGGCTGGCGGCCCCCCCCCAGGGTGCCCTGGAAAAAAGGCCTGGCAACCCACCCCCAGAACATCAGCAACTGACGACCCCGCAGAGCACGGTTCCATTCAGACACACACAGGGCACTGCTGTGAGTCGGAGAGGACGCTGCGGCCACCGGGGGACCACGTCCCTGGGTCCCAGACAGGCTTCCTGTCTCCAGACGTAACCACCCAACACGTCACTCAGTGAGGCACAGAGGCTCCGAGTGCATGGGCAGGATCGCCAACGCAGCCCCGCACGCAACACTCACACCGGCTGGGAAGCAGACAGGTCCCCTCCTCATACCACATGTGCCCACAGCGTGGCTCCAACAGACAGCCGGACGCCCATGCTTACCCATGGCAAGCCCCACGAGGCGGTAGGGGAAGAAGCAGGAGGCCAGGAAGGCAGCCCACAGGGCGACGTACAGCTTCTGCGTGGTCTCAGGCTGCACCCACATGAAGAGGCTGCAAGGGAGAGGAGGCTCAGCGCGTGGCAGCCGCACCACACCGCCGGGCCAGGCGCACACTTACTTCCGGATCTTCTCCAGGATGTCGGCCATCTTGCCAAAGAGGTTCTGTGCAGAGAAACACACGTGATGACATGGGGTGCATGTCGGGGGCTGCGATGACACTGGTGCTTGCTGGGGTCCCAAGACAACATGGGGTGCACACTGGGCAAGAGGCCTGAGACCACGGGTTGGCCACACTCTGAGTGTCCACTACGCCCTGTTGTCCTGCCAGGTTTATTGCCAGAAGGAGGTTGCGGGGGTCAGTGTGCTGATACCGTGAAGGTCAGCCTGGCTGCGAACCCCTGGAGCTCAGCTTCCCACTCACGCAGACTTAGTCGGGGCCTGAGCAGCATGGTCAGCCCCGAGCCGGGGGAGCTATGGACCTGAGGGTCAGCCGCCCGCCAGGGCAGGCCCGTCGGGGCCCCCGTGGCCGGCCCGGGGCCATACCTGGGCCTTCTGGGCCACGTCCAGCACCAGTTGGAACTTCTCAGACACAGTCAAGTCTTCTTTGGGAGGTTCCTTCAGGGACAGAAAGAGAATCCCACTAAAAATGATGAGAATCACAGGGGCCCCAGCCCCCCCGGGCCTGGGGTCACTCTGCTATCCCCACAGCCAGGGCAGTGGGTGCCCCTTTAGGACCTGGGCACGGGAGGCAAGTACGCAGCTCACGGCCACCTTGGCCTTTGAACCCCGCTGTCTCACCCAGACCAGCTGCGAAGAGGGCAGAGCTGCGGTCCCGACTTCCATTCTTAGAGATCCCCTTCAGAGCCGCACTTTAGGGACAACCCCAACCTCCCTACTTTACAGGCTCAGGGAAACCGAGGCCCCGACAGGAGACACACCCAGGCCTCCCCAGGGCTGCTAGGCTGGGTGGCTAGCCTCTTCTCCCCCACCGTTTCTAGAGTCCCCTGGAAACCTCTGGGCCTGGCTGCCGATGGGGAGGCCTGGCCTGGGGCCGCCTTGTGCCCTCCCCAACTCACCACTGCTTCGGACACTTCCGGCACAATGCTCCACTGAATCCTCCAGCCCCTGCAGACACGGAGTCGTGCACAGCGAGTCAGGGGCGACTCCTGAGTGGGCGCCTGCTCCCATCCCAGAAGGGGACCCTGAATGCCCTTAGGTGCCAGGGGGCGGGGATGCAGCTCTGAAACTCCTGCCTGGGAAGGGGAGCCTCCAGGGCACCCCTGCTTCCTGGGAATGGAGGGTCCAGTGCACTCTCCCAGGCCCCCAGGGCCCACATGTGACTACAGCCAGGAGGCCTTTCCACACTGATCTACGGATGGTCATGTCCTCAGCTACAGGTCTGGGCCCTGCCGAGTCCTCCCAGGGAATTAAAGGGCTTACTGCTCAGAGAAAAACCGCCCGAGACACAGGAGGACCTAGAAAGTCAGCCATACAGATGGGACAGCTTCTCTCACTCCATGCGGGACCACTTGTTTTCTTCTTCAAATTAACGTTTTAATTAGATTTTAAACCTGCTCAGCAGGGTTTTCTTTCCTTTTTCTCCCCTTCAGCCAGTGAGTGGTTGACCACGCGCCACCCCCACCCCTGGGGACCACCGAGGATCTTTTTTTGTGTGAAACCCTTCCCTTGACTGTTTACAACCAGGTCAGACAGGATCTGTCCTTGTGCGATGGACCAACTTCACTCAGCGTCATGGCCTCCAGGTTCATCCACGTGATGAGACGTTGCACAGATTCAGCGTTGTTCCTGAATGTTGTGTAGCATGCCACTGTGTGGACATACCATAGGCTGATCATCCATTCCTCTGCCGACAGCCACTTAAGTTGTTTCCATCTCTTTGCTATTGCAAATACTGCTGCAGAGACCGTGGGTGTGAATTTATCTGTCCCTGTCAGGCTCTAATTTCTCTAGGGTCTATAATGAGTAGTGGGGGTGCTGGATCATATGGTGTTTCTATTTCCAGCTTTTGAAGGACATGCCATGCTGTTTCCACAGTGGTTGCACCATTTCAGTCCCACCAGCAGTGCAGGACGGTTCCTGTCTCTCCACACCCTGGCCAGCATGTGTTCTTTCCTGAACTCTGCCATCAGTGCCGGGGGAGGTGACATCCCATTGTGGTTCTGATCCCATCTCTCTGTTGGCAGCAATCTCGAGCATCGCTCCGTGTGTTTGGTGGCCACCTGAATGTCTTCTCTGGTCAAAGGTCTGTTTCTGTCCTCTGTCCTTTTTCAAGTTGGGTTATTTGTCTTTTGTTGTCAAGGTGTTCAAAGTTCTCTATAAAATTCTTGAGATTAGCCCCTTGTTCAATACGGCGATGCCAAAGTTCTTCCCCAGTCTGGGCTCTCTTATCGCTCTTTTGCTGAAATGTTTTGACGTGTGTAAGTGTCTAATCATAAGAGGTCCAGGCATCTGTTTTATCTTTTGGTGTTTGTTGTTTTTAATTTTGTTCGATAGTGTATTGTGCCCTGAATTAGGGCCCCTAAGTTTGTCCCTGTCTTTCCTTTGATGGTCTTCATGGCTTTAAGTTTTACGTTCAGGTCTCTGATCCAACTTGCATTCATTTCTGTATACGGTGTGAGGTAGGGGTTCTGTTTCATGGATGTTCCATTCTGCCACCACCATTTGTCAAAAAGACTCTCTCTTCCCCATTTAATGAGTTCTGGCCCTTCGTCAAAGATCAGCTGTGCATGGATGGATTTACTTCTGGGTTTTCAATTCTGTTCCGCTGGTCTGTGAATCTGCCCTTGTGCCAATACCAGCTGTTTTAAGTCCTGTGGCTGTATAGCTGGTGGGTTCTGAGATCGGTGTGTGTGAGGCCTCCTACTTTGTTCTTCTGTAGAAGTGCTTTACTTAGCTGGAGTCTCTTTCTTTCCCACACGAAGTTGCTAATTAGATTTTCCATCTCTTTAAAGAAAGACGATGGGATGCAGATTGGGATGGCATGTTACCTGCAGACCTCTTTGGTTTTCACGGTGTTAAGTTTTCCTACCCATGAGCATGGTTGCTGTTGCTGGGTGTCATTGAGTCATCTCTGACTCAACAAATACCCCTTATGTACAACAAAACAAAGCACTGTACGGTCTTCGTATGTGACATTTTGAAAGGCTGACTAAAAAGGTGAACATAGGGACCCATCTTTAGACCACAGGGTCTAAAGTGGAAATTCACCAGTGGGGCAACTACCAGGCACCACACACCCCAGAGTGTCCAGGAGCTGGGGAACCCGGTCCGTCTGGAGACGGGTCCTCACAGGGCTGGTTCCCATAGGGCCCTCCTATGCCTTAACCCTGGGAGGGTCATGGAAGGACAAACACCAGCAGAACAATAGCACTAACTCAACGTACTGTCAACGTGTTGGCGGATAATGTCTACAGCAGCAGACACCCCGTCTACAGACCACCAGCATTCATGCTGGAACCCAGTCACGTCACAGCATGTTCACTTCATGTGAGACTCCAGGACCCTCACAGAGCAGAGAGCCTTTGCAAATGCATCAGCCACCTGCTGGCCACCTGCTCTAGGGTCTAGGGGAACGTGCCTGCCAAACCAGAGCCTGATGCAGGGAACAGCTGGAGGACTGGGTGCATCTCTGCCTGGGAGTGGAGGGCCAGCTGGGGGTGGCAGCAGGTCTCCTCCAGTGAACTGGAAGGGGGTGGGCACCCTGCCTCGGTGTCCTGGAGGCTAACGGGGCCCCCAAACATCAGTGCTGCCAAAGAGCCGCGTGCACGCCACCCACCGGACACAGGAAGCGCTGTGGCTGGTGCCTGTGTGATAAAGCTGCACCCGGCAGCACCGCCCACCCACCTGGCGATGAGGAAATTGAGGGACAACCGCAGGATGGCCAGGAACAAGAACATGGGGATGGCCCAGCCATGCCACACAGCGTTCATGTACACCTGCAATGGAAGAGGGTCAGTCACTGCTCCTGCCCTTCCCTGGGGACACCAAGGAGCCCTGCTGGCAGAACAGTGCTGAGTGGGGCCAGCCCCCCACAGCTGTGCTGTAACATAGGCTTGGGCACAATGGGGACATGCAGAGAGCACTGCATCCTTGGGTAAGGATGGCAGGGGGCACATTGCAGGAGCACACAGGAGGCTCAACGTCTGTGGGAGGAGCTGCTGGACTTGCTGGGACCAGCAAGAGGAGACAGCTGCACATGGGGTCCTGGCCAGGCCACACGGGGTCCCAGCCCAGCCCACACAGGGTCCAGGTTCAGCCCTCACAGGGTCCCGGCTAGGCCACACAGGGTCCCAGCCCAGCCCATATAGGACCCGGGTTCAGCCCTCATGGGGTCCCGGCCAGGCCACACAGGACCCGGATTCAGCCCTCACGGAGTCCCTGCCCAAACGACAGGGGGTTCCAGCCTAGGCTGCATGGGGTCCCAGCCCAGCCCACACGGGGCCTGGGTTCAGCCCTCACAGGGTCCTGGCCCAGCCCACATGGGGTTCTGGCCCAGGCCACACGGGGTCCCGCCCAGCCCACACGGGGTCCTGCCCAGCCCACACAGGGCCTGGGTTCAGCCCTCACAGGGTCCCAGCCCAGCCCACAGGGGGTCCCAGCTCAGGTCACACGGGATCCTGGCCCAGCGCACACAGGGCCCGGGTTCAGGACACACGAGGTCCTGTTCCAGCCCACACAGGGCCTGGCTTTGGCCCCCAACGGGTCCTGGCCCAGTCCACACAGGGCCCAGGTTCAGCCCACACGGAGTCCTGGCCCAGTCTACATGGGGTCTGGGTTCAGCCTACACAGGGCCCAGGTTCAGCCCACAAAGAGCCCCGGCCTTGCCCCATGGAACACTACTCACAATGAAGGCAATGGCGGAGGTGTAGACGGAGTACCAGTCAGACAAGGCAGAGAGGTTCTTCACAAAGTTGGTGACGGGCTTGGCACCCCGCTCTGTGGGCAGAACACAGTCAGGGCTGTGGTTAGTCACATCAGCCGTGGACACAGCTTTGGGAGGTCCCTCCTTGAAGGTCAGCCTGGACCCACAGCTCAAAGTGGAGCCAGACAAGCAAAGCTCCCAGTCAGCCTGCACCAGCGCAGTGCCCCTATAGCCACCTCAAGGCTGGCTGTAGGCGAGCACCCCTGGTGCCACTGCTCAGCCAGCACCTGCCCACTGCAGTGATCAGTGGCAGAGGAGACGAGGGGGAGCCCAGGGGGCAGAACCATGAGGGACGGCTTCCCTTGGCCTCAGGGCCTGGGAGATGTCCAAGGTCAGCTCAAGAAAAGCCCCGTTTCTGCCTCAGACACTGGGGTTCCTGGGCTCTGGAGGGAACTCTCAGCTTCCAGCCCAGGGGACGGGGACAGTGGTCTCCACCCGCTCTCAGCCTCCGTACGTGGTGGGCCAAGGACATACTTCCAACCCACCCTTCTCCCACGGGCAGGAGGGGCTCTTCTGCCAGCAGCTCAGCCGGAGCCCCCGGAGCCCCTGCTCCCTGAAGGCCCTGTCCCCGAATCAAGGAGGAACTGTGTGCACTGCAGACAGGGGGACTGGGGGTACTTACTCAATCTCCTCATGTTTTCAGTTAACCTGAGAGGGGAGAGAGGGGCAGCGCCAGGCAGTTAACATTGGCCAGCTCCACGCGCTGCGGGCACCCCTGCCCCGTGGAGCACAGGAGGACGTCCTCAGCGCACATGCCCACCCCATGCCCAGGGCCACCAGCCACCCCATGCCCAGGGCCACCACCCACGGCGAAACCACAGCGCTCCTTGCCCACACGGGCTTGCAGCGCTCCCGCTGAGCATGACAGGAGGGCAGGGGCGTTTCACCCCGAGTCCTGCAACGGTGGCCCTGGCCCACACAGAGCCGCCCCACGGTGGGCAGGCAGCCTACCTCCTGGCACTGAGGGGCTCCTCTGCCTCGACCGTGCTCTCCTCGGGCTGGAACCGGAAGTCCTCCACGTACTCCCCGAACCTGAGGTAGAACCACTTGTGCAGGCGGGCGCACAGCCCCTGGCCCCAGCGGTCTGTGGAGACAGGTGGAGTCCCAGTGAGGGCCCGCCGAGGGCCTGCACGCCCCCTCCTCAGCTTAGAGTCTGTGCCTGCCGGCGGGCTCCCTGGGGCAGGAAGCAGCCCACAGAGGGTGCCCACCACCAGGCCAGGGGCTCAAGACAGCCGGGCTATTCCCGTGCAGGACTGCTCTTCAAAGCTGGAAGATGAACTGCCAGAGCTGGGCCCCTCCAGGCTGAGCTCTCTCGACGGGGACGTGACCCAGTTCCCACCCTGATGCATCAATGCCACAGGCAGCCAGGCTCGTTGGCGTCAGCCCACTGCTCCTGCCGCAACACCGAGGTTCTCACACCCGGCTCCTCTGCTGCTGACAGGCACCCCTGCGACCTCCCTTCTCTCTCCCCTCTCTATCCCACCTTCCTCTGGGAATGGCTGTGTGGGCCCCTGCCCATGAACCCTGCGTAAGTGTGCATCCTGCAAGGGGACAAGCCACGGTGAGGGAAGTCGCCAAGTCCGGTGACTCACAGGCAGACGCCCGTGTGTGACCACTTTAGTCTGCTCACCAGGAGCGGCAACCTTTACACAGGGACCCAGACTGCAGACGCTGGAACACTTTTGGGCTTCAGACCAGTCCTGCCACTCACAGTCGGTACCTTGAGAATCAGGCTGTGAAATCGCCTGAAGGGGGCGCTGTGTGACCAGCGTTAAGGAGCACGGAGCCACGGGACAGCATCAGTGAGCTCTCGGCTATTCTGTGCCCGGGGCAGACTGAGACTGAAAGCTGTTGGACACAAGGGTCAACGGCTCAGGACCAGAGGCCCCAGGCACAAAGGAGCCTGAGCACCAGAAGGAAAACACACGCTTGGGGTCACTTGGGGGTCTGCCTCTGGCACCCTAACCCGAGAGTCACAAAGATTCTAAGTTAAGGGCCTAGAGGATTACAAAGTTCCACAGTTCCAGAAAGAAAAAGTCCTCAAAACTGGATCAACAAGCAACACCACGATAAAGGGAGAGAAGAGTGTAGTCGTCAGGAACTTCATTTTCCTTAGATCCAGTCCATGCCCATGGAAGCAGCCGTCAGGAAGCCAGGTGAGGTACTGCTCTGGGCAGACCTGCTACAAGCCTTCTCTGAAGTGTTAAAGAGCAAAGGTGTGCCTGAGGATAGGGTGTGCCTGACCTACGTCCTGCTACTCTCAATGACCTCGCAGGCGTGTAAGGGCTGGATGGAGGAACTGAACGGCTGGTGAAGGGCACGGAATCTGCCACGGGCGCTAGGAGGGATGGCTCTGCCTCGCGAGGAGTCCAGCCAGGATGCTCCTCAGGAGAAAGATGGTAAAACTTCATCCCAAGGGCTCTGGACATGTTATCAGGAGGGACCGGTCCCTGGAGAGGGACATCAGGCTCAGTGAAGATGACCCCCAATGAGACGGACTGACACGGCGGCTGCAACAACGGGCTCAAGCAGGGCAGTGACAGGGAGGCGGTGAGGGACCAGGCACTGCCTCGTCCGGTCCCATGTCGGATCGGTGTGAGTCGGAGCCGACTAACAGCAACAGCGTCACAGAGGCTGAGCTGAAGGCCTACGGTGTCTCAGTTTCTCGGTCAAGGGTCTGCCGGTTACAGCACTTCTTTCTTACTTAAGGATCTGTTGTTGTTAGGTATTGTTAGATGACACTGTTTTCTCAACTCATAGGTTTGCTAGGCTATAATCTTTATGGCAACAAGCTCTGGTGGTGTAGTGGTTAAGGCATTTGGCTGCTAACCAAAAGGTCAGTGGTTTGAAGCCACCAGCCACTCCGCAGAAGGAAGATGGGGCAATCTGCTTCCATAAAGATTTACAGCCTCGGACACCTAATGGGTGTTGCTGTGGGTCAGAATCAACTCGACGGCAGCGAGTTTGGTTTTTTTTTTCCCCTATTTATGGAAGCTGATCGCGAAACCTTCCTCCAGAGAGCCACTGGGTAGGTTCAAACCGCCAACCTTTCAGTTAGTGACTGAGCCCTTCACCGCTGTCCCAGCAGGGCTCCGTATTTGGAGCAAAGTTCCTAAGCCGAGAGAAGGCGGGGAATGCTCTGCAAAACGCCTGAGAGTGGAGGCTCCAGGTTTTGCAAGGCCGCCCAGGCCCAGGCCCTGTCACTGTCACTCAACCCTGTCCTTACACACGGTAGGAAAGGAGCCGTGGACAATGTGGAAGCTGTGGGCGTGGCTGAGTGCTAGCAAAACTTCACACAACGTTCACGTCACAAAGCACCATCCTTCTTTTCCGTTTTTCCTAACCTTTTCCACACTGTGAACACAGGCACTGGCTGCGGCTCGTGTTCCCCAGGTCCCGGGAACACGAGGCTACTGCCTGAACAGGCCGGGGCTTCCCTCACCCTGCGCCCGCTCCCGCGCCAGCCTCTCTGCTTTAGCCAGGACCACGAGGGCCTCTGGCTGTCCTCTTGCAGGCTACCGCCAGAACACTCATTCCCTGGACGAAAGAGAAACCCTGCCAAGCCTCGGCCCTCACCCTCCTTTCTCGGCCGGCCCCCACCGCTCCACCCTCCCAGGGCGCCTGCCCTCCTTCCAGGGTGGGGATGGAAGGCTGGCATTTGGTACCATTGTCCCTCCCCCAGCACACGCTGTCCCCGGACCATGTGCGTTACGGCTATCAGGATGGGCTCTGGACAGGAGGACGTGGGTGAGGACCTTCCCTTCGCACTCCGACCCTTGTCTTTGAGGGCAGGAGACGGTCCATCTCTGTATGACGTGTGAAGATCTCAGGCAACGGGTTGGAGATTCAAGCCTGGGCCAGGGGTCTGACAGGCTGAGCTCTGTCCACGGTACGTGCTGCCAGGCCCACAGCTGAGCCAGCTTCGGTGGGCGAGAACCGGGCACCCAGGAGGCTCTGGGACCAGACCTCACCAGAGGGTGTGCACCATCTAACCTCTGAGGGCAAATGTGATGGCCCTGACTGGGCCTGGGAGACCCAGTTCTGAGCAGGCTCGGTGGATTGGGGGTGCTCCATGAGGGGCACACCTCCCGGGCCTGTTTCCTGTCTGCACCCTAGGGTGGGGCTCACAGTGAGCACAGCCCCTTTCCACAGGGACAGCGTGATGGCCAGGACTCTGTGGGTCTGGTGGGGCCCTCAGTGTCTTCCCACGCCGACCTCAGCATCGATGACGATGACCGAGTATTCAGTGAGAAAGAGCAGGAGCTCAGGGAGGGAAGGAAAGGAGCAAAGGGCCTGTCCCCAACCCACGGCCACCGCCTGTGCAGTCCCCCTGGCACCCAGGCAATGAACACAGGCCACCAAGCCAACAACTGGGGGGTGGATGGCATCACCTCTCCACGGTCCTCGCTTGGGAGGTGAGGCGGCGGCTGGACTTTGAAGAGAAGGCGGGCCGGGGCTTTGGCTGGGTGACTCTCGCTTGCCGATTCGTCACCAGATCACATTAGAATGCTGACCCAGTTCTGCTACGGGTAGACTGAGCTGTGCAGCAGGCCCAGGGTCAGAACCAACCCCTGCCCCGAGGCTTACCTGCTCCATTGTTAGCCGGGACCTGTCCTTTGGGGGGCTGCTGCACCGGCGGCTCCTCGGACCTGACAGAGAGGGAAGAGGCAAGTGGCTGTCAGCATAAAGGTGCGGGTGGGGCTCTGCCCTCTGCAAGGCAGCCGTCTGTCCGAGCTCTGCTCCGGCGGACCAGCCCCCAGAGCCCGGGACCCTTTCATGTTCACTCGCTGGGTATCTCGGTGGCCAGGCAGGCACAGAGCTTGGATGCCACAGGCACACTTACTGGGTTTTTGTAACTAAGTGACCCCTATCAGCTGCTATGGAGTCAATCCCGACTGAGGGCGACCCTGTGTGCACAGGGAACTGTGCTCGGTGGGGCTTCAAGGCTGGGGTCTTTGGGAAGCAGCCCGCCAGCCGGGTCCTCTGAGGCGTCTCCGGGTGGGTAACAAACTGCCACTGGTTTGGCTCGAGGCTGAGCGCTTCACCTCCACACCCCCAGGGACCCTGTCACCAGCCGCTCTGTTCTTTCATGAACTGAACCCTCTGCTTCTCCTTCAGCCCCAGGCTCAGGACAGACAGCTCTCCTGTCACTCATGGCTGTGAGCTGCCCTCGTGACCCCAGCACCCAGAGACCCCACGCAGAATGGGACGCAGCGCTGCCCGGTGCCGTGCCGTCCCCACTCTCAGCTGCAGCGCTGGCGAGTTTCTGGAGCAGACCCCCAGGCCGCTCTCCCAAGTCTCAGTTGGAGGCCCCACCGAAGCCTGCTCAGCACCCCAGCAGCCTCCACGGACGGACGGGCGGTGGCCGCACGCGAGGTGCCCTGGCCGGGAAGCAAACCCGGGTCTCCCACGTGGCAGCTGAACTTCTACCACTGAGTTGCCACTTCCCCCACAAGGGAGTAGCCTGCTGGCAACAAGACACTTCTTCACACACATAAAATACTTCTTCACGCACACACATGCACACATGTACACACGTATCAAGCAGAACACATACACACGTGTGCACGTACACCTGAATGCACATGCGTGCACGCACACACCTGAATGCACACGCGTGCACGCACACACCTGAATGCACACGCGTGCACGCACACATACACACATGAATGCACGCGCATGCACTCACACATACATACACACATGTACACATGCGCACACACATGCATGTGTCAAGGAGAACTCAAGGCCACAGCTGGGTGATGCCCCCTCTGTGGCTCTGTCCAGGTGCCATTCACCTGCCCCACCAACTGCCCCCACCTCAATCAACAAGGTCCCACCCAGCCTTGCTCTGACCGTGTTGGTAGGGCTGCAAGCCCTCCTGGGTCCTAAATACTGGCCTGTCCCCCTGGCTGCCTGGACCTGTGCCTCGGTGGGGCCTCTGCCCTGGTCTCTGGCCAGCCCACTCGGCCCCAACGGTCCTGCCCTGGGCTGGGTGCAGATGTACCCCCTGCACCTGCCTGCAAAGAGCCCCCCCAACAACAGGGAGCCAGGCTGTTGGAAGGGTAGTGCCCCGGGCAGACCTTGGTGGAGGCTGGAGGACGGGCACACACGTCACCAGTGATCAGGGATCAGGGCTGCTCTGTGTGCCGCACTCGACCCCATTAGCCCTTCTGCGAACCAGCCCAGTTCACGCTCTTGGAGGCTGTGGTCACACTGTGGACCAGGCAGCCAGGGCACAGGACTCACTGGCCAGGGAGACAGCAGGGGGGTAGGGGGCAGGTGCACCCACCAGGAGGCGGGGCTGCAGGGTGAGTGTGCACCTAAGGAAGAGGGGATGGGAAGGACACCCAAGGAGTAGAGACCTGGAGAGAAGCTGTGGTCCCCACCACCCTCATGACCACCCACACCTGGCGCATCCAGCAACATGGACCACGGAGCAGAAGGGGAGACCCGGGGTCTAGTCTGGGTAGTAACCACGGCCCAGAGTCCAGGGGGGCCTCCTGGCCAGGACTGGGGCTTCCGGAAGATGCCCTTCACGGAAGCACAAAGCGCTGCACCTGCCAACACCTCCGCCCAGGTGTGTGCTCGTCCTGCCAGCCCCAGCCTGGGGCTCCCGCACTGGTGGCTCGCACCATGTTCTGTGTCTAACAACACTGTGGGACAGACCGAGGGACTCTTCCTAGGACAATCACCCGCTGGGAGCAACCGCCACGTGTGGACTCTGGGAGCTGGTGCTAACAGGCACAGAAAGCAGTCAGACAAAACCACTTCTCTTAACCAAAAGGGAGACAGAGGTATTCTTGCCAACGTCCTGGCAAGCTGTCCCACCACTGCTTCTGATGACACGTGGAACACGGAGAGGGCATCTTCAGAGTTACATCATGCTGTGTGACTGCTTATGACAAGGACCCCCTCGCGTCTCTAACAGCTGCTAACTCTTCAAGGTGCCTCTGAGCCTCTGCAGCTGAGATCTGTCAATGATCAAACAAATGAGCCGGGCCGTGTGGGAATCAAGGTTGTGTGTCAGCTCCGTGGGGCCCGGCTGAGCGGCTGGGCAGCTGGAGGCAGTTATTCCTCATGATGAGACTGGCGATCAGCTCCATGGTGGACTACACTGGGGCAGCTGAGTAGCTGCCTAGGGACGTGGTCTGCTCCCAGTGAATAAGGAGCAGCTTGGAGAACGGCCTGTGCCCTTTGGAGCATTTAAACCCCAAGTGGAGCCAAGTTGTTATTCAGCAGCCTGCCGTGTTGTCTGCCATGTTGGCACTGTCAATGGACCTCAATCAATGGCCTGCTGTGGGGTTTGGTGACATCGGGACCATGCCTTTTGACTTGTTGACCTTGGGTTCATCACCCTCAACAGCCAGTACCGTCTGAGTGAAGAGAAGCCTCCAGCTCCAGTGGGCCAGGAGCAGGAGGCAGAGCTGAAGCCCAAGGTCGAGGGGCTTTCACCCAGCCCCTAGAGCTGGCACTCTGAACTCAGACGTAAAGCCTCCAAACTATAGGAGAATCCATTCCTGCTTGTGAAGGCCGTCCCGTGTGTGGTATGTTCTCGTCAGAGCAGCTCCAGGGAACCCAGAAGGCCGCACGTGTCCAAGGCTCTTCTGTAAACTCCTCAGGGAATCCCTGAGGGCGGACGGCTCGCGTCTGCTGCTCACCAAGAAGTCGGCATCCAAGCCCACCACAGGCACCTTGGGCAAAAGACCTGGCTATCTACCTCCAAAAACACAGCCATTAAAAACGCTACGGAGCACAGCCCTCCTGACACGGGCTCGCCGGGGGTCAGAGCTGACTCCATAGAACTGGTTTAGAGCCCACCGGGAAGGGGGACTGATGCTTCACACTCAGCCGCTCACTACAAGGTCGGAGTTCAAGTCCACCCAGATGCACCTGGAGAAAGGCCTGGTGGTCCACTTCCCCCAACCAGCCACTGTGAAACCCACGCAGCACCGTTCCCCTGACACTCCTGGGGTCACCAGGAGTCAAAGGTGACTCTGCAGAGCTGGCCTGGAGCCTGGGTGGGACACATGAGCTCAGGTGCTGACTGAAGGGTCGGAGGTTTGAGTCCACTCAATGGTCCTCGGGGGACAGGCCTGACGGTCCCCTTTCATACCACCAGGCACGGAAACCCCCTGGAGCGGGCGACACACATGGGTGTGCCATGTTTTGAAGCTGACTCCATGGCAAACGGTAACGGGTTAATTTCCCCTGGTTCACCTCACTCCAGGGCACAGGGCAGAGAGCTACACCCTGCATGGTGCTCAATGCTGGGCCTAGGCTGGGGTGGGGGCAGCAGACCACCACCAGGGTTTGTTAGACTCCCACCTATGCCCCCTCCCAGGCAGGCTGCAGGCGTGTAAGCGGCGTCCAGCATGGACCACCTGGCCTCCCCACGCCCTCCTCTGACTTTGGCGCTGTGGGAACAGGGGCCAGGGGAAGCAACACTAGGGCAGGCAACAGATGAATGCGTTACGGACATGTTTCCACACTGTCTTCAGATCTAAAACAAGAGCATGCAATTTTTCAGGAATTTTCTTAAAAACACAGAAGTTTCGAAAAACACAATGACTGTGTTTTAATCCCTCTCTACTGCCCCTGGTGCTTGCGGCTGCAACTCACCTGCATCTTTAGGGTGTGAGGGCGGCCTTCCATGGGCTCACCCACCCCAAAAGCCCCCAGTCACCCCAGACCCCCTTCGAACCACCACCAAAATGGCACGACAAAGGGAGCCACTCTGCCTGGGGCCTGTTCCTCCGCAGGCCCCTTCTCCTTTAGGTCTGAGCCTACAGAAGGTTCTTTAGCCAGCCCAGTTGGTCCCCAAGGCGCTACGCTGGGAGACTAAGGCCTGCACCCCAAACGTGCCAAGTGGCTAAGAGATGGGGAGGCAGAGATACAGACACTCAAAGAGGGAGCAAGAACACAGGTCAGCCCCATGCCCAGCGGGCCACCTGCTGCCCCCACAGGAAGCGAGGCACAAATTGGTAGGTGGAAGCAGTGGGGGGGGGGGGGCACAGCACCTGCCAGGTCAGCCCGGCTGCATCTCAGCTCGACGGACAATTAAATGCAATTTAAACTCTGAATTTGCACAGACATTCCGAGGCCTCTGCGTTGGCAAAGTGCCTGTGGGGCCCATGTACCTGTCTGTGACATGGGGAGGGGGTGCTGACCTCGCAGCCCAAGCCGAACGGCACAGTGGGGTGACACCCTTCTCCAAATGAGCCAGGGCCCCAAGGTGAGCCCTGGGAAGGTCCCGACAGGCCACACTGACCCCGAGCGGCCCATGAGGTGGGGCCGGGGGGAGGGGGGAAGCCTTCATCAAGAGCAAGCGTGTCATCAGGGGACAGGAAACAGGACCACCCTCCAGAGAGCTACATGCAGGTGCTCAGCACTGAGGACCCAGGCAAAACCCCGAGGACGCCATCTGGTGGTGACAGGCAGGGGCTGCACCTCCAACAGGGACTGAACCTGGGGGGGGGCACGTGGTCACCAGGGGCCGGGGGCTGAAGGAGCATTGAGCAGAGGCCCCCACCCCACCCAGAGGATGCCCTCACACACAGAGATAATTAACACGGAGAAGCCAGCTTCTGGTGGGCGTGCTGTTGTGCACACAGCTGGGGGGCGGGGTCCAGGGGCTGCAGGGCGGTGGGCTGGTCCGGCCACAGTGCGAGGGCCGTGGAGGGCAGTAAGGGCCGGCTTTATGATGGACACACATCACTCGAGTGACCTGCTGCTTGCTGGGTAGCAGTGTCAAGCAGAGGGCAGCACAGGGGGCAGGAAACACCTCTTCCCCACCCGGATGTACCCTCCACGCAAGGCGGGAGCCGGGCAGGCACACCCAAGGCCACTGCATGCATGGTGGGTGGGGTGGGGAGGCGGGTGTGCCCAGAGTCCTCCACAGGCCGGGCCAGGTGTGAGGGGCAGGGGGGCGTTCTGAGTGGGCAGGGTTCTGGGGAAGGGTGGGGGGAGGAACATGGAAGAGGTGGGAAGGTCAGGATCAGCCCTCTGGACTGGACAGGGGACACGGGGTCAGGAGTCGAGGCGGTGACGGGGGCACTGCAGGCTGAGTTCGTCTTCAACCTCCCTCCCTCCACACCTGCCCGCTCCCTCCTGGCCTCAGGCTGTGTTGTAGTCCCCACTCTGATCACCCCTGGGCAGTGAGAGCAGAACCCCCACCCTAACTTTCCACATGAAGAAACCGAGGCACAGGGAGGCAGCCAGCTTCCCAGGTAAACCTACCCCCAGTAACTCCACAGGTGAACTTCAAAATGGAGGCCCAGGCTCGGGACCCCCAGCTCTCCTCTCAGGCCTCCAGCACCAAGGGGTGATGCTCTGGGCCCAGCAGACACTGGAGGGGGGTGAGGCGGCCAGGGAAAGGGAGGGGATATACCTCCCACCCAGGAGGGGCCCAGCTTTAGGACCTGACCAGAAGGAGCTCTGCACCCAAGGGCTCCCTGCAGCTGGGGGCAGGGGTGGGGAAGGTAGGGGGCACAGACGGGGCTGAGACCTGCAGGGGCCGTGTCCCAGCACCGGGCAGCACGGACGGCCAGCTCCGAGACCTGGGGCCACCACTGGGCTCCGAGCAGGGGCACTGACTTGATCTCCTGGAACCCCAGTGGCTCTCCACAGGCAAGAAGGGCCGGGGCGCCCCACTGTGGACGCAGCTCTACTACCTGGTCTTCAGCACCTCCTGGACCCTCTGCTCCAGTTCCAGCCGCCTCTGCCGCTCACGCTCCAGCTCCTGCCGCAGCGTCTCCGCGTTGGTCTCTTCTCGCAGCTTCCGAAGCTCCTCCTCTGCAGAGAAAACACAGGTCACACCACAGACCTGCTGAGGGTACTAAGATGTCTCAACACAGGTTACATCACGGATCTACTGGGGGTGCTAAGATGCCATCATATGTCACACCATGGATCTACTGGGGGTGCTAAGACGTCTCAACACAGGTCACGCCATGGACCTACCAAGGGTGCGGTGCTAAGACTCCTCAATGCGAGTCATACCATGGATCTATTGAGGGTGCTAAGATGTCTCAATGCAGGTCACACCATGGACCTACTGAGGGCACTAAGACTCTTCAATGCAGACCACACCACAGATCTACTGAGGGCACTAGGACGCCTCAACATAGGTCACACCATGGACCTACCAAGGGTGCTAAGACTCCTCAATGCAAGTCACACCATGGATCTACTGAGGGTGCTAAGATGCCTCAATGCAGGTCACACCACGGACCTACTAAGGGTGTACCACATCACCGATCACCATTACAGATCCTACTGAGGACATGGTGCCAAGACACCAAATGAGAAGGTCCACGTTCCCTCAGTCAAATGCTCTGAGAACCTTCGTTTTCCTCACATAGCAGAAGGCTTTGCAGAGGGACACTTCAGCCCATCTGTCTCTCTTATCCTCCGCAGTCTGCCAGGCAGACACTACTTCCTTCTCCTCCTTCAAAGGTGCACCAGCAGTGAGCAACTAGAAGTGGGGTGCCTGTTACCCATCAGGGAAGGTGTGGGGAAAGCTTTCTTCACTATAGGTTACAGACTGCATTGTGTCTCCCCGAGCTACGGGCCGGCGTCCGGAGCCCTGTACTGCGGGTGTCAGCCCACGTGGAATGAGAGTTTCTGCATTATGTTAATGAGGCCACAGGAGTGCAGGGTGTGTCCTAACCTGCCCACTTCTGAGACAGGAACAGCAGATCAGACGGAGACAAGCAAGCACCAGCTGGAGAACACAGCAGCACGTGTGAGGATCACGAAAGGACCAGGAGCCAGGGCTATAGAAGCTGAGACAGGGACCGTCCCCCAGGCTGGACAGAGAGCCCCCCCAGAGCGTGAGCCCCGGATTCGGACTCCTGGACTCCTGAACCATGAGCACGTATGTTTCTGTTAATCACAGCCACCATGGGTGCTGCCTGTCACAGGCGACTAATAAAACAAGTACGCAACACACAATGGCACTTTGCCACCCTGTCCCCACACCTGCAGGACACCCAGCTTCAGGGACTCTGGGATGCTCAAGAGTTGTGTGTTCCCCACCCATGGGCATCTCCCAACAGCGGGTGGCCCTGCTCACAGCACAAAGCAATGCTGGGAGAATAATGTGGTAACGGCAGGGCTGCCAGAAGAGAAAGTCTGTCAGCAGCAGAATTCCCAAGGGTCCCTGAGGCTCAGTGACCCCGGCACCATGGGCTCTGGCCCCAGGGTGGCTTGTTGCCTGCCTGCCATTACGGACACAGCTGGAGAGCTGAAGCTGTGCGGGGGTAGAGGGACAAGGGAGTTGTGGGGACAAGTGAGGGTGTGCCAGGCAGGGGAGCCGCCCAGGGTACGACACGGGCCAGTGGGCAGAGCCTGATGCTCCCACCTGGGCACCTGCGCTCTCCAACCTGGACCCCAACACGCAA